CTCGAGTCTGCCCTCTTCTATACACTTCATATTAACCTTAATAAACAAATTCCAATCACTTTTGGTTATATGTTTGAGATGTGGTAAACATTTGCCACTTTTAACCATCGGTGGTATTCTGCGATGACTGGTGTTTTTGCCGCCGGCATACACCGGGAATTCACTCAGACTTATATACTCTTCTGCCGCCATATTCTTAGCCATTTGTCTTTGACGAATGTTAGGGTTAAAAAATTTTATAGCAAAATTGAATATGACCTGAAATATCGGATCCAGATCGTATAGCATGACCATGTAATTTTCAAACAATTTATCCGGCTCGTTATTAAGCCTCACCGCCATATCGTATACAACAGCTGTTATTTAAAACGAATTTAACATAACTTATAAATTATATACAGACAAATAAATTGTATTTAAAATAATAAATGTGATTGTATTTAATCAACTGTATAGCACTCACGTAATACCCAATTATCGGGTTTCATGTTAAAAAAGTTGATATATCCTATGGTCGGGATATTGCTATCTCTATATATGCGAATATATTCAGCGGTCAGGTGAGAAATAAATTGCCTGTATAACTTGTCCACAGCCTTGTTATTAGTGAAGCGCAAACATCGTGCCACTTGACCGAAAACAGGTGCACCCGATTTCGATTGCCCAAACCTGAGTAGATATCCGGTGGCATAAAACTCAGCGGGGTAATATTGGGGTACAAATGGTTTATTCACTTCATTGATTAAATCTTTGGACTCCGACAACACTGACATTGGGTTGAAAGTTGACAAATTGACAAATTGTGTTAGATTTGCATTTAATATGGGATAAGAGGTCAATTTTTTCACTGAACCAAATACTACATCTTGGTTAAAGAAACCGTACGACACCGCAATCATTTGCATCAATAATATTAATAATAACAATTTTAGCATTTTAGTTGAACACTACACATTTTACAAGTGATATTCACAAATGGCTATGATCATATTCAATGATAATCAAACGTGTTTACAAAATATGGCAATATTGAACATTTTATAAAAATATTTTATATTAAAATAATTAAATATATAAGAGACAGTGAAACTTCGGTGCTGTCAACCATTTATGCTGCAATTTCTCTACGTTATCAACCAAATCCCAAATACACACCCCATAGACATAGTAGTAATGTTCAAATGAAATATAAAACTTAATAAAACTACAAAAAAGCTAAAACTAAATATAACTTAAGATTTAATTTCATTGATTGTCACAACGAAGTGACACTTCATTTGGTTGTGATTTATAGACTCAACAAATAGTGTCTTACTTTGCATTTGTTTTATTTTTCCCGTTTAAACATATAATCAATGCATTAATCAATCAATTAATTCACACAGAATTGTCGTAATATTTATTTTCTCATAAAAAATACTTTTAATTTCATATACAGTACAATGTATTGCATTGATATAAGGAGTAGATTATTATTTTAAAAAACAATTTCATAATTAAATGATCACTCGTTTAAAGTGTAATAATATTTGAAACAATTAATGAAATCAATGATTGATTATAAAATTCAGTACAATTTGTGACTATTCAATGATAATGTAAAGAGAGATATAGTGTTTAGTTAACTAAATCGACACAAAAAATACAAATAAATTAACGAAATAATTAAATGAGATAATTGACTAAAGAGTTGCTTAAAACATAGGTTTACAAAACAAATATCGATTGGAAAATAAGTATAATTATTATAATTATTAATAAATGGCGAATAAAAGCGTAAATGTAACTAAATTTAATGACTTTTAATCGTTTCCTATCACTAAATCACGTCTCAGTCTTCTTCTTCTGGAAGGCGAAAAACATCTCCAATAACTCCCTCTGACTCTTGGGATCCTTTGTGCCGGTGATCGTCGGACTTGTTTTGGTGTCACCGCCGCCGCCGTCGGGGCTCTTAAGGTGTGGCTTCTCCTCGTGTTTGGCCAGATTTCGCTTCGTTTTGTAAACAGCGGTACAGCCGTCGTGTTTGCACCGGTATATCACTTTCGGTGTCTCCGGTGCGGCCGCCGGCGCCGGACTGTCCGGCGATTTGGGTTTCTTGTCGACAGAATTGAGCGCAGGTTTCTTCGGTTGCCGGAAATCTGATTAAACAAAAGTAATTTTAACATAAATTCAATTAATGTTTCAACAAAATGGTGGACACTTTGCGTACCGATAACGGTGTGATCCTTCCTATGCTTAGCCTCGTGTGCCTTAAGCTCCAGAGGTTTCTCAAACTTTTCGTCACAACCACTGAATTTGCATTTAAACCACGAAATCATGTTATGTACGGACTTCTGGTGCAGACGCAGACTTTGCATCGATGGGAACCGCTTAGTGGGACACTCTTTGCATTCAAATGCCTTCGGAGTATTACTATTAGGCCTACCGGTGGTCGCGGGTCCGCCCCCTCCGCCCCCGCGACCCAAATGAACCCGTTTTAAGTGATCTCTAAGCTCGTGATTAGTGTCAAACTGATGGCCGCACATGTCTTCGGCGCAGCGGACCTGTTGGCCATCAAATGTTTTGTGGAGTTTGCAGTGAGCGTCGAGTGACGGCTCGGAGTCAAACTTTCGACCGCAGATCCGACATTTGTTCCGCGATTTAGCCGACGATTTCTCTGCAAATTCAGACAATAATTACTGTTAACACAAAGACTACAAACAAGTCATTAGACGCATACCATCGCCGTCCACATCCATGTCTTCCGCTGCCATCGCCTCCTCTTCGGCCGACTCTTCGTCGGACGTCAGTATCAGATGACTCTTCGCATTGATCTGATCCTCGTGTGTGACCCTAATCTCGTGAACAGTGAGCAAACAGAGCAGATCCAGGTCTTCGCGCAACTCACGTATCTCTTCTTCGTATTGATTGGCAATCAAATCACAACTGAAAATTCCCTTTTCATCGGTGGTAGGGATTGATTCGATACTCATGTCTGGGTTCGCGTCGGACATCGCGTCGATATCAATGGCCAATGTCTTCGGCGTATTATCACTCGAGGAGTGTTCAGTGCCGACAATCGCCTGACCCGACACAGCCATAGGAACTCCAGTATCACAACCACCGCCGGCCAGCGCCGCCGATCCCACGGTCGGAGTCATTGGTGCGGTAGTAGTGGTGGCCGTCATTGTCATCGGCGCTGTGGTCGCGGCCATCATCGCCAACGGCTGTTCCACAACAGACAACGGATGAGCCATCAGTTCGTGGCTGTCGTCCACCGTCGACCTCAACAGTTGATTCTCAGTCTTGAGGTGTTGGACCAGCTTTTGTGACAACTCAAATGCGGCCGAAACGGTGGCCAACTTCTGGTCGCCGATTGTCAACAACGACCGCAACGACAGTAATCGGCGCCGAAGTCGGCGACAATCGGCCGACTCTTTCTCGTATCTCTCTTTGTAACCCATTGTTGTGTGTCTTCGCCGAGCGATTCGGACATCTAATGTATTCTTCCGGTTATCACTGAACAAGTGGTAAACCAATCACTCGTTTCATTATTAAATACCAATGCTTTCAATGACTGTTCAAAAAGTGTTTTCAATTTGATTTACAAATCAAACAAAACATGTGTTGTTTTGTATTCAAAATAATAGCATTCATTCAATGCGTGTATTATTTGGTGTAAACTCCCATTCAATGTGGGAATACTCCCGATATTCCCTCCCATTGTATACCTATTGCTATGCAATTAGAGGCAAAACAGTATGCGTTGGGAATATTGCACACTATTTTGGCCTACAAATGATATTTTGGTACCTTTTTATAGCATAGAATACAAGTTATACTCATATACTTTGTTGTATTAAAAAGTGCTAAATTATGTTCAAATGATGCAACAAATTAGTTAATTTGCAATTTAACTCAATTATACCGTGTTTTAAATAATGACCCGATTTATGGTTCACACTATGACCACCCGTACAGCACATCCCATCGCTGGTATGTCCTGTTGTGTCCATACGTTTATTCTCAACAACTTTTCATAGATATTACGATAAATCCAAAAACACAAGTATTTGTAACTGATTTAAACCATCGTTTAATTAAATTAATTAAATACAAAAATGTGTTTACAATTAATTATAAGATAAACACAAAATAACACATAATTTATAATTGAAAAAACCAATGATAAGTACGCTCGACAAGACGAGGGACGACGACTTGGCCTCCGCCGCGGCCGCCAATGGAGGGCACCCGTCATCGTCAGCCACGACCAGTGGATCGTCTAATT